AGCGAATCTTAAAGCTGCAGTGATTTAGAAGTGGAAATGGATGAAATCTCACCGGAACGTAGAGACGTGGGCAAACTAAGAATCATGAAAAACTTAAACATTTCTCATCATTTTTTCAGATGCTTTTTACTATTGTTATTGACCTAAATTATGGTGACTTCCCAGGTTAATAGTAAAAACAACTAATTGAAAACCTCTCGAACTTCTATTGGAAATCAGTTGAAAAATGCTGGATGGAACTTTTTCTTGACCGCTCTTGACCGAGAGAAAAACTTCCTATAAAATTAAGATAGTTTCAACCTATTTCGAGATAGAAGTTCGTAACGTCCAGGGCCTTCAAAGTCTACAAGTTTTCTTCTTACGTTTTGGAGATAAGCAATTTCAAAAAACCTCATCGACAAACAACAATATGCGAGTCTCTATTTCGAGATCAAACCAAAACACCTCAAATCGTTCTCACCCTCAGAAAACCACTTACTTTGTCTTCTTTGTCTCCTCAAATCCATTGAGTATTTTGTGCTTCCGATACTTAAACGTGTCGGAGAGGCTGATCCTTTCCTGCATCCTCTTCAACGTCGGAACGTTCAGCAGCTCCTTCACTCGGTCCTTCTTGTAGATGTCCGGTTGCATCGCCTCGGTTATAACGTCGATTCGAATCTGATCCACGTTGAAGAACTTCAACAATAACCCGGTCTTCCGTTCCGAGATGTTTAGCTTGAGGGTGTTGCAAGCTATGTTGAATTTCAGCCTGTAATCGGTTTACTGAGTGAGGAGAGGGCATGGGCGGCTGTAGACGTTGCTTACCTGGGTATGGATTTAACGTTTAAAGCCGCCAAGGCGTAAACGGCCGTAAACGAGGTTTTTGGTATCAGATGCATGGCTGTATCCTTCTCGTTTCTCGCCTCCTTCCAATGGTCGTTTTTATCACAGAATAGAACTTGCAGATTGGTGCAATCTGGAAACCGTCCACTTTGCCCAGTTGGTAACTCATCAAGTCCTACTCACTTATGTGCAACTTGGAGTAAAGCTGTTCTTCCAACTCCATCTTGGTGGCGGTTTCGCAAATCTGGGTCTGTTGGCAGATCTCAGTTCTGATCCAGAACTTTCCCAGGTCGACCACCAGAACGTTTTCCTCTGGGCTAAAAACGAGACGCAAATTATCGATAACCCCAATGAAACCCCCTAGTTTGGAGCATACGCACGCGGTGCAGGAGCTGGACTCGGGTATCACCAAGTAGGGGCATTTGATGTTCAAGTTCAGCTCCCATTTGCTGGCGATCATTTTCCGCACCCTTTTATAGAGGAGATTTGGCATTTTCCTGACCACTTGCAGCAGGTTCGTTCGCTTGGAGCTTGCGGTGGCTTGCAGGAAAGTTTCCAAATCTTCAAAGCATYGCTGAAACCACAMGCACCATTAAACTGCTGTGCAGAGGTGGACCTTTAATAAACACCTTATTATAAATGCACTCGACTGGATTCAAAGTCACTTGYAGCCGATGAGCGAAACCATTGTGGGTCTTCAGTTTCTCCCAGTAGGCGATGAAGACGAAAGCCGGACTGTCCTTCAAATGTTCGGAGGACAGCAGRCAGTTCAGAGTGTTTTTCGGTCCGTTTCCCTCCACAATGAAGCCCTCTACTTTCAACGAGGCCCGATACGTTTGGTCTACAAACTGCGGTTTGACCGTCAACAAGGTCTGAGTGAGGGTGGCCACCAGCACCTCCTGCGATTGGTTGGTGAGGATCAGGTTGCAGTTGCCCAGCTTCAAGTTGCACGTGTGGTCTGAGGAAGTTTTCGTAGGTTTTATGGGGCAAGAAGTAGGAAAACCCCCCAACAAGGCGATCTTACCGATGGGTCTGGCCGTTTCGTTCTTGTCGTAATACCCAATCTTCTGGCACAAAACGATTTTTTCCGGAGATGGCAGCATCGACCAGAAGCTCTTCTCAGTTTGGCTGTTGGATTGCATCTGCAATTTCACGCTACACTGCCGCTCCATGTGTTTGAAATGGCCACTCACCAGTAACCTCGTGTGCTGCCTGGCAATGACCACGTTGACGATGGAAAGATTGTCTTCGTGCTGCTGAAGATCCAGCTTCAGCTCAGTGTCGTGGGGATTGGCGATGATCTGCTTGTAGGTGTCCATGTACTTCTTGTAGTGTTCCCGGGCCGTTTTTATCCGGCTCCAGCTCATTGGTCTGACCCGTTGCTCGAGTGTGGCCCAACAGGCGTACCTGTGCAGATGGTTCAGCTGGGGGAAACTCAGCGGAGTTTCCATACTCACTTCCACCAGGCCTTTTCGTTCTTCAGCACCTTGGCCACCGGCCTAGCTGATAGAAACTGCCAACTGATCATCATCCTTTGCAGGCTGCTGCTGACTGCAATGATCGCGTCGTATTGGTTCTTGGAAAGTTGCAAGTTGCAGTCTTGCACTATAACGTCGGTGCTGATTTCCGCTACGTGGCCCTCTAGGGACTTGTTGATTGTCATCTTGATCTTGGTCAGCATGGGGTTTAACACTGCAAGCACCCGCATTAGACCTGCAAGCCTGTAAACCTCCGGAGCGACTTGCCAAAGTTGAACACCTCGCCCTCAAAGGAGAAGCTCTGCAAGCTCTTCACCATGGCGTTCCTCCATTGGTAGTACTGCGACGGCAGGTCCCACCGCTTGGGAGTCACCTTGGTGTTCCAATAGACCGACATGGCCTCGATTTTGATCAAGTAGTAGCCTGTTTGGAGGTGTGGGTCATTGTTGGCGCGCTTCCATTTGCTGAAACATGTGCATCCTTTACCCTCCTCTTGATTGGCGGATCTAAGCAGACCTGCTGGTGCTTTGCGCGGAGATCGACGCTATGCAAAGCCCAGCTGCTATTGGCTCAATCCAGCTGCTGTCGTCCTCATAGCGCACATGGACATTGATGATGTTGATCTGGATGTAGTTGAGGATGTGGGAAACCAAATGCTCAGCAAAAGCAGCCGGGCCTAAAGCACGCCTTGGCGTTGGGTGTTAATGGAGAAGTGCGCAGTGCTTACCGCCCAAAAGGCCTCCATCGTACTCCAAAAGTTCCAGAGTTCTCCTCTTGAAGGCCCTCAGCAGCCGCTTGTTGAGATCAGGATCGAATGGCTGATTGCGCACGATGGGATTGACCACCATGTGGATGTCTTCGATGCTGAGAACCACTGGGTGTCTCCAGAGGGCCGACCATGGGATTTTCAGGCCGATTTTGCCAATTGTTCCGGCTTTCACTTCCACTGGCAAAGCCAACTCGTACTAGGAAAAGTGAGGTGTTTTATGAGCGTGTTAAGGTCGCAGCTGACTGCCGGACTTTACCAGAGCTTCGGGTTTCAGTTTCAAGTCGTTCAGTTGCACGGTGCCGGAAAAAATGCCGACGTTTAGGTTTTCCGTATCCAGATCTTGCACATACTTGCCGAGCAGTTGGTTTAGGATTCGTGCCACTGTTCCTTCCAACATCTGGGGAAATTGATTGGTTAATGGCCCGTTTTGAATAGTTTACTTCCTACGCCTTGGCGGAGAAATAGGCAACAATAACTGTTCATTGAGTGGGTTTTTCGGGTTTT